GCCCAGACTACTGTCATTGGGACGTCTGGTGTTAGATTTTCTGTGTTTAATTGTTTCTGGACATCCGCTACAACCAGCGGGTCTTTGAGAAGGGAGGCGTTAAGCCTCCATGTCCAAGGGGTAGGGCTGAGTAGGCCGTCTAGATAGATTGCAATGTCTGCATGGTCGGACCAGGCAATGGAGAATATTTCCGTTTTTCGAGTTTTCGTGAAGCCTGTTTGATTAGTCAGAAACATGTCAATGCGCGAGTAGGTATCGTGGGAGGGAGAGTAGTAGGTATAGTCTTTGTGACTGGGGTGTTGTGCTCTCCACGCGTCTATGAGACCCGTTTTACTGATGAAGTCATGTAGTTGTTTATCTTGAGCACCCATGCTGTGGGATCTGGCCATACCCGGGAGCGTGCTTCTGTCGACTGCTGGGGAGGGGGTGGCGTTAAGGTCGCCTCCCAATACCACCACACCACCAGGCAGGGACAGGACTGTGTCTGCCATCTGGTTCCAGAATTGTGAGGATGGGGTGTTGGGGGCATAGATGTTGATCAGGTGTATGGTTTGTGAGTATATTCGGCCTGTGGCTATTATGTATCTTCCCTCTGGGTCACTTACCACTTGGGTGATGTGCATAGGGCATCGTTTGTGGATTAGAATGATTACCCCATTTCGTTTTTGGAAGGCTCATGCCTCAGCGGCTACCCGGTAGGTATGATCACGGAGGGAGACCCGGGCGGACCTGGGCAAGTGCGTCTCCTGCAGGAACGCGATGTCCGGATTTAGTCTCTTCAGTTCTCTAATGAACGTGCGCCTCTTGCGTGGGGCATTGAGGCCCTTCACATTGAGTGAGGATATTTTTATTGTCATGGTGGTGGGTTGGAAGTGTCTCTCATGAGATAGAGATGTTGGGACATGACACGGGGCATTATCCTCTCCCACCTCCGCTCTCCACGCTTGCTGCGCGGGCAGGATCTCCGCCGGGAGGAGGTAAGTGTTACATTTCATGACCGAGTTATGTTTGGGGTAGGGGTTGGGTTGTATTGTGTTGATGTGGATATTGGGATAGGGGAAAGGAGTGGAATAGGGGGCAAGGGGGTGTGGGAGAGGTACAATCGTACCTGTCTGGACTTATGATGTGCCAGACTGTGTGGGGGTACCTGGACCCTAGCCTCCTTCCGGTCTCTTGCCGTCTGGGGGGTCTGGGTCATGAACCAAGTCACTGAGGGTGACCCCTATACGATAAAACTGTCATTAGAATGATGCGCTGAGTGACACTAATGTCAAGGAAAGGTTGTGGGTATTGGTTTCCCTACTTTTATGTCCCAGTTTTCAGGAGGACTATGCTGCTGTGTTTGTTTGGTTGGGGGGTCTGTGGTCCTCCCAGTCTAGTCAGTTCTAGGCACAGTAGTATAAAGCGCATGGTAGGGAGAGATGACGATGTTGGACACCCAGAATCAGGTCCAGAGACAGTGTGTGTGTAGGAGTATAGAGTAGAACAGATCTATCCTGTTTTCCTAGTGCGAGGGTGACTGACTGTCGGGGTATTGCGCTATAGGCGCTGATGCTAAGCCTGGGGTGATGGGTGGGTGGGGGGGGGGTGCTGTACCCTGTCAGCCCCGTATTCTGTGTTTTACGGACGCTTGGTACGTCAGGGTGCTTTGGTGCGCTGAGCTTATCTCTTGTGTGGTTAAGTCCAGCCTTACCCGTGCTACTTCCACTTCCCATTTGCACATCTATATATGACACCTTGTCACCTAGTGTGTTCCTTAGCTGAAGGTTCACGTGTGAGGTGGGGTGGGTTGTTGGAGGTGGGGGTGGACACATAGTTGTGTTTGAGCCAAGGTTAACAGTGCATAGTTTGCATTACAGGTATCACATATACATACATGCTTACATCATCATTGTTTGCTCTGAAGTAATACTAGGCCATCTGCATATAGTGCGTGGCTTCCCGCCTCTCTATGTGACTGGTTTACCATGTGACATCATCGGTAGCTAGTGGTATTGCTTAGTAGGCGGCCCTGGGGGTGCGAGTGTGGTAGGTCCTGCCTTGACCGTTTCTGTATGTTTGTAGTGTGGTACCGTGGATAAGCGCCCGTCTCAGCGGCAGGGCCTGTCGGAGCGTGTGTGTCGGCGGGTGTGACCTTGTTTCACCTGCAATCCCTGATCGTGTTGAGTGGTGTATATTTTTTTTTATTTTTTATTTTTTTTATTTTTTTTTGAGAAGTGTGTGTTTGTTGGTGTTCCCCTTCTGCATGCGTGTCAAAGTAGCTGTGACAGGTTTGTATGGAGTGTATGCTACCATAACCCAATGAGTCACATTTGTGTGTGCTAGGAATACATTACAGTTCAGTTGGCAGGAGGTGATGGCGGTCGTGCTGAAGGTGATCCGTGGATTATCCTGCCGACAGTCCATGCAGGGTCTTCTGCGGTGCCTTTGCCAAGGTTGACGTCTCCTGCAGGGCGGTGGAGTGGCCCCGTTGATGCAGGTGAATAGGTGTGGGGCTGTTCGCTAAGGGGAAGTTCAAGTGCTGTACATGGGTGGTAGACTGGTGGTTGTCGGTCTCAGTGTTGCTCCGTGGTGTGTCCGGACGTGGGGAGTCTTCTTAGGCTTCTTAGCTGTAGTGGGTACGTTGCGTTCTGTTGGTCTCTGGTGTGTCGGGCTGAGGGGTGATGAGAGCTGCGGGTGAGTCATTGTGGGCCGTGGTCCGGGTGCATTTTATTCCGCTGCCATGTGCCACTCTCGTGGCAGGGTGCGGAGTGCTGGGAGTGCGGCCGTAGGTAGGCTGAGGTTGTTGGGGGGCACAATGCCCAGGTCTCGTAGGAATGGTGTAGGATTTGCTCCCGGTAGGAGGGTGTGGGGCCTACCCTGTTTGAATACCATCAGCTTGAAAGGGTGGCCCCATGCGTATCTCACTGAGTTGGCTCTAAGCAGATCTGTTACCGGTCGCCATTCACGTCTACGCTGGAGCGTGATGGGGGCTAGATCTTGAAAGAGAGATATTGCTACATTGTTATAGGTGATCGGGGTGTCTCTAGCCTTCCTAAGCACTGCTTCCTTAGTCTGAAAGTGGAGAAAGCGTACTATAATATCTCTGGGCCGTGTGAGATCCTCTCTTCGGGCGCGCAGGGCCAGTGTTCATCTGGAATATCTGTCAGGAGGGGTCGGAGGAGGGTAAGTACGGTTTCAGAAAGAGGGCCCTCATCTGCTTGTTCCGGCAGGCCTCTTATGCGCAAGTTGTTGCGGTGCGAGCGGTTTGCTAGATCTTCCAGGGCAGCCTCTGATGCTTCCAGGCGGGAGGTGAGCATGTTGATGTGGTCTGTAGCTGTGTTGTGCGCCGCCACTGTAGTCTCGACCCGCTGCTCCAATTCAGAGGTCCGGGCCCCCAGTGAGTGTATCTCCGCCATCACTGCCTTGGAGCTCCGCTCTATTTCCCGGGCGAGGAAGGACTTCATTGCCGCCATTTCAGTGAGGATGTGCGCCGTCTCGGGTGCTGGTGAGCGCTGCGTTGGGGACGGTGCTTCGTCCGGTGGTGTGGCAGGGGCCCTCAGATTGTTCTCGGCGCCATCTTGAGAGTCTTGGAGGCAGTGGCGTGAGGCCGCGAAAAGGTCTTTCACCATGGCTGCAGCTTCGGTGTGCTTTTTGGGCTGCTTCCTGGGTGTGCGTTTGTCCATCTTCGATGGTGAGGGAAATGGCGTGGAAAATCTATTAGTGGATGGCTAATATTAGCTATTGGTATCGGGGTCGGTGAGGAGCGTTACACAAACACGTCCAGGCCACGCCCCTGTACCTTTTTTTTAAAACAATAAACTCAACTTTCATTGTAAATTATTATATATCTGTACTAAATTGTATTAAATACATTATTTTTGGTCAGAGTAACTCTGTAATTTGTGAACCCAGGAAAATTATGTTTCAACCAAGCCATGGTCTTTGTCTAGATGCCCTTACTAATAAGACTGGAATTTTGAATTTTCTAGTAATTTGCTCCTTATCTTGTAGAATGATTTTTAAATAATCTCAACACCAAAGAATGAGTACATGGTAGTTATCTTAATTGACCCTCATGTTACAGCACAAATGCTTATAAATAGTACCAAGTCACGGGGACAAGTCAAATTACGTCAGGAAAGTACATGAAAGTTAGATGAATAACAAAATGTTACTGATATATCCTAAAATAAGAGAAACTGAAAGTGAATGTGGTAGTTGAGAATGACCAATGGCAGTCCCACATGTGCAGTTAATGAGCATATAAGGCATGCCAAAAGAACCAAAACAGTTCTAGAAAGCAAGAACAGAATGCCGATGCTGGCCATTGGTCATGAAGGGATTACTCACTAATTAGTGAAACTGTGAGTAGAGGTTTGTCAGCCTTTATAGTCGACACTAAAGGGGTTAATAACTAAAATGAGAATTTCTGAGAATTCAAAGTGAGTTCCTTATTTAAGGCAAATAACTGAATTGGAAAGTCAACTATTTTGGTCTAAAGTTTTAAGTTCACTTTGAATTGGCTTTAGGTCCCAAGAAACCTCACTTTAGTGAATAACACTGTTTAATTTTATATTGTATCTTAAAATATATTGAAACCAGTCTAGCAGTTAAAGAGATGGAGGAGAGAGATCTCTGAGCACTCCAGGGGCGTACCTAGAGCATTTGGCACCCTGGGCGGATCCTGTGCTTGGCACCCCCCCCACCCCCCTCCCCCCCAAAAAAAAAAAAACCTGTAAAAATGTTAAAGGTTTTATTTCTTTTATTTTTACAATTTGTAAACTTTGCAAAACCGCTGTCAGCCCCTCCTACAAAACCCTTGTCCTGCCATGCCCCTCCTACAAAACCTCTGTCCTGCCCCTTCTACAAATCCTGTACTGCCCCATCTACAAAACCCCCGCAACCCCCTTCCACAAATCCCCTGCTTATCCCCCCTTATGAAGACTCCTGTCCCAATACAAAACCCCCACCCCCTTCTACAAAATCCCTGCAGCCCCACACACACATTTACAGGCAGACAGTCACACACTCAGTTACAGACACAGTCACACACTCAGTTACAGACAGACAGTCACACACTCAGTTACAGACAGACAGTCACACACTCAGTTACAGGCAGACAGTCACACACAGTCACAGGCAGACAGTCACACATACACATTTCCTCTGTGCGGCCAGTTTATCAGCTGTTTGTTTGAGTGAGCTGTACTGGCCGCACGGCACCCTAACTACCATGGGACAGTGTGCGGCCACAGCTCACACAGCTCCCTCCAGCCAGGGCCGGTACAAGGATTTTTGCCGCCCAAGGCAAAAGTAAAGTTTGCCACCCCCCATGTGACATCACAATGCCCCAGCCATATGATTTGCCATGTTAACTAATGCCAGTGCTGCAGTGCCGCCGTGTTTACATTAAAAGGCCTGCAGGGACAGGCTATAGACACCAGAACCACTACATTAAGCTGAAGTGGTTCTGGGGACTATAGTGTTACTTTAATGTGAGGTAAATTAGAGCTTAGTGCCACGAATAATATACTAGATTGCCCACTTACAAACTAGATGAGGATTTTGATGAGGATGTAATACTCTAGCTGGTGTGCCTGGCTCCACTGTCTGGGTGCAGAACAGGCTCTCTGGAGGCGGCAGGCTTTGTAACTGTGGTCACAAAAATCACGTTCTGGGAGAACGGGAAGCAGCTCCATTTTTTGGGGGTCCTTACACAGCTCAAGGTCTGGGTCCCAGGGTCCACCTTCATGTTCCACCGATGAGTTTGTTCACAGGGGGTGGAGTGTGTAGGGGATGTCCTGATATGTGTGTAAGGAATGCATTGTGTGAAATTGTGTTTGTATGTGTAAGGGCTGCAAGGTGTATTTCTGTGTATGTATGGGATGCATTGAATGTGTGTAAGGGTGCATTGAGTGTGTGTAATGAATGCATTGTGTGTTTCTGTGTGTGTAAGGGATGCATTGTGTGTAACGGTTGCATTGCTTGTGTATGTGTGTCTGTGTGTTTTTCTGTGTGCAAGGGGTGCATTGTGTGTATGTGATGAATGCCAATCTCTCCTCCCGCTCCAATTTCCTTCTCCTCCTCCCAATTTCTCTTTCTCACCCCCCTCCTAATTTCTCTCTTACCCCCGCTCCTATTTTCTCTCAC